TACATGAATGCACGTCACCAAACTGCATGTACTGCTCTCATACGCCCCCTCGAAATGCAAAGTCAAAGTCCACTGGAACAAAATTGATGGGAATAGGAAAAGCAGCAACTGACTAACAGCACCTACTTTTGGGCACTGAAGGAGCCAGTGTTCCAGCAGCATTTGTTGCTTGAAGCAACATAAATTGTTTGTTTTGGGAGTCTGTTCCACATATTAATCCCAATATCTACATTTGATTTAGCACCTTTATGTCGGGAGGACATCTCAAAGTCCTTCACAGGATATAATGTAAATGGCTGTGGACTACCCAAGTCCTGACTGACTTCCTGACTGACTGACTAACCACCTTCACTTTATCTCTTCAAATCTCCAGCTCCCGCCTGGTCATTTGTAGTGTACCCAGGGGTCAATCCTTGGCCCCCTCCTCTTCCTCATCTATATGCTTGGCGATGGATTGGCAAAAATGGGGTAAACTTCCACACATATGCGGATGACACACAAATCTACTTCTCCTCCTCCAGCTGTAACTCCAGGTCCACCGATATTCGGTCGGCTTCTGAGCCGGACATCAGGGTCTGGATGAGCAAAAACTCGACTGGCTCCGGCCTTCTGCTTGTCCTTCGTACCCTCCATTCCACCATCAGCGGCCGCACTTTCAACCAATAATCCCCCAAACTTTGGAACATTCTTCCTCTATCCCTCCATCTTGCCCCTTCCTTCCCCATCTTCTGGACACGCCTGAAGACTTGTCCTCTTCAACCGTGCCTTCGGTCACCTCCCGCTCCCCCCGGCTCAGTGTCGTGCTCCACCCTGTCAAGAGTTCTGGGACGCTACCCTGCCTGAGGGGCGGCTATATAAATGCAAGTTGTTGTCATGTATTTTGTAGGCAAATGCAGCAGCCGATTTGAAACCAACAATCTCCATGTCCCACAACATATGGATGTCTCAAAGCAAGGATTTACTGTGAAGTGAAGAACATTCTAATTACAGGTGGGGAGAGGTAGAGTGAAAAAGAAAATCAATAAGAAAGTAATAATGGGGTAAAAAATGCATTATTCGCAAATAATTGATACACAATTATCTCAGTTATAGAACAGCTATGAGTGCTGTGATGAAAGATTTGTGTGCATGTTTTGGCAATCTAATTTAATGATGTACACCCAGTTAACCTATTTTAAAACCCCCAATAAAATAGATGTTCTGACCTTCAAGTCCTTCTCACTGTGCAGCCTAAAGAAGTTTCTCTTCTGTTTTTAGAACATTTCTTGCTTGGTTAAAACCCCCAATAAAATAGATAGCTAAGCTAGTTTGCATATTCAGGAATGTATGAGTACCTGCCATCTTAGTGCTGACAATTGACTGTATAGCATGATGTTTCAATTCATGGAAGAATCAAACCATGTTAGAGGTATACTCACATAAGTTGTATCAGGTAGGACTGTAACATTTAATGTGACCTACATGAAGTCCGAGTTCCATGCAAACTATATAAATCGTATAAAATCCGGTTTAATCGATATCTACACTGTATAAGAGTAATTCAACGCAGCCGGTAAGTGTGCATGGGTGACAGATCCAAACTACGTTTCCCGTGATTCAATGCGTATTGACCCCCCGCAGCATGCAAACTTACCAGTAAGTATTGGAATCACATTAAATCGTGGGAAATTAAATTCTTAATTGCGTGTACCAACGGATCAAGACAATGTTTGTCGCGATTCAATGCAGCTGGTAAGTGTGGGAGTAATGGAGCAAAGGGGAGCAGGGTTACAAGTTAGGAGGTGATTAATACGACTAGTGCAAAGAAATCTATATGGTTTTGATAGGAAACTGAATGGAACTTGGGTGAATGTATGACTTAGGTGATTAAATATCATATAGAAGACTTAATCGAGTTTTACTGAATGTATATATTCACATGGTCTATATGACCCACAAGTGTTCTGACCTTCAAGTCCTTTTCTCTGTGCAGCCTAAAGAAGTTTCTCTTCTGTTTTTAGAACATTTCTTGCTTGGTTAAAACCCCCCAAAAAATAGATAGCTAAGCTAGTTTGCATATTCAGGAATGTATGAGTAAGGACTTCCTGACCTATTGTTACATGAATTCTATTGTAATTTTCTGTTCAGTACTTTGAACAGCCCTGTGACAGGAACAGCCCTGTGACAGAGACTGTCTGCCACATTAATAAATACACTCGTGTGAGAAAACAGGTTGAACAGCTTTTGAAATACCTTTGGGGAAATCGACATCCTGCACAAACCCTACCTTATTTATAATGAACTAAACCTTAGAGCCTCACAACCTTCACTACTACAACAACAAAAAATTACATTTGTACAGTGCCTTTCACGTCGGGAGGACATCTCAAGGGGCTGGACAATCAGTGTTTCGGACCCGAGTTGGGGGTCAGGATCGGGGAGGGCAGAGGAGGAGGAGGGTGACCAAAGGCGCAGTCGAAGAGGAGGGTCTTGCGACGGGTCTTGAAGGAGGCAAGGAAGGGGGCGAGGTGGAGGTACTGTGGGATGGATTTCCAGAGGGTCGGGGCAGAATGGCTAAAGGCCCGCCCCCCAATGGTGGGGGAGGCAAAACAGGGGACGTGAGGCAGCTTGGAACCCGCTGAACGGAGGGAGCGAGCAGGTTGGTAAGGGGGTTGGGAGGTCTCAGAGGTAGTGGGGAACAAGGCAATGGAGGTCTTTGAAAGTGACAATCAAACAATCAGATGATATTTTCCCTCATATTCAATATTCGATATCAAAGAGTTAGCTTATTATGCACATTTTATCCAGTAATATTTTACATATTAATAATCCTTGCATTTGATAAAGCCCTTTACACGTCTTCTCTGCATGGAAATTGTATTCATTCTCAAGTTGGATAGTATAAGGTGTACTATTTGTCCACTTACCCTCCTGCCACGTCCCCCAAATCCACACACACACACACACTCACAGCATTGTATTCAGTAATCACCATGTAACATGCAGCTTGTTTCACAAATACACAAAAAAATAAGGTTTTCAGCAATACAGTAGTAATTGACTGACATTGTGATCTATTTTAGCAGTATTTCAGAAGAGCTCAATTTCTGTTTTAATATCTGTTCTCGCACAGCCAATTTGAACCACCCCAACAGATATGCTGACAGCCACAAATGCTTCCAAACAACAGAGGAATTGGGCATAAGATTAATCCTTCAAGTTCTTGACAGCATTTTGATATTTGGTCATTTGGGAATTGAGGCGTGCAGAAACCTCTTGCACTGCTTTAAAGTCCCTATTTCCTGCTTTTGTGAGTTCTCAACAACAGCAATTCTATTTGCTTGTTCTAAAGTGAGCAATCACCCCAAAGTGCATTTTGGGGATACTGCTGGAATTAAACCTAAAATGTAACAGAGTGTATGCTTATTTGGCAGAAGATCTATTAAAATGGGTCTGGGTTCATGTGTCTTCTACGCATTTCTGTTTTTGTTCTCTAGAATTGGAAACACAGCCAGATTGTTTGGTGGTCCCCTCTTACAATATGCATCCTGCTGAACCAAACACTGAGCACACTCCCCCAAAACCAGCAATGCATAACAACCAGCATCAATGTGCCAGATTAAAGTCACTGTCCACGGGCAGTTTTCCAATATAACTGAATTAGATTACAGTGAGCCCAGACACCATTGCAAGCCTGGATTAGAAAGAGCAGCAATTTCCAGGTATTGTTGGGAACCAATGATAAAGTTATCAGAATGGGGGGGGCGGGGAAAGTGACGGATTTACAAGGAAGCAGAGCCTGTTGGACAAACACTTAAAACAGGAGGAACAGGCAGGGTAAAGAGCAATCTATACATCCTGAATAACAGTGTAATACGACTAACATATAATTTACACTGATTGAGTATTTAAATTGGTGTGTTATGAATGAGTTTGTGAAACTTGGTGCATATTAAATGGTGACCACTGGATACAATGATTCTTCTTGAACACAGAGATGTGTTTGTCACAAGCATTCAGCCAAACACTGGGATTGCTATTCATTCACCAGAGCAGAATTGTGTTTTTATTGTTGATGTCCTCTTGGTGGGGAATCAGAACAGCCGATGGCTGCTGAATGTGAGGGAACTGCAATATACAAGGGTATAGGAACAGATTGGCCATTATTGTATTAGGATTTACAAGCTCACGATATCAGTCACATGAATCAAACCATTCCATATTTTCTTTTGACCTCTGAGATGGGAGTATTTCAGTGTATGGTGTGCATTGAAAACAAGCATTTTACATGTTATGCGCTCTGAGACACTACCCTGCATGGAGTGCAAGTTATTGTTGTTGTTGTTGTACATAACAATTTTACCAACAATAATTTTCTCTTTGAATCTTTGAAAACACAATTTGAGTTTTGATTCTGAGATTGGAATCGTGCTTTCCAAAATAAAATTTCACAAGCAAAAATGTGCCAAATACATAGAATAAAACTCGTCGAAAAGTCTCAAAGCATTTCAGTTTTGTTTCTGTAAAATGTAGTGACTGTGCATTTATAGCATAGCATAACAACCAATCTGCACACAGCAATGTCCACAAAATAGAGTTGCACACTTGTCAGTGTCTGCTTTGAATATAGTACATTCTCAGAAGGTCATCCCTGTCAGCATTGATAAACACCCCTTCCAGTAACATTAACCAAAGCTGCACTGCCTGCAAAGAATAAGCAATTACAGATTCGGCAGAACACTAACCTCCAAGATACTGGGCTCTCCACCCTAAGCTTCTCAGATGAATAACTGATAAGTTCGCAAGCAGGTTTATTAAAGTGGCATCATTGTCTAAGTGGTAGCAAGGCAAGACCGAAGGAACATTTGTGGCTCTGAAACAACAACTACCAATACTAAACATCCTTCTTCAATCACTGTTCAGCTCTCCTTTCAATTCTGTCCCAGGTCATAAGAAGTGAAGTGAAGGTTATCATCTCCTTATCCCCAAATCAATGCTGTACGAGTTAATGGCTAACTCACCTTGTTGAAAACTGGCAACATCATGTAGAGCTTTTCCTCCTGTTCCTTCTGTGTCATGTGCCGTGGTGAGTGGCACAGCTCCATGAAGAGGCGACGTAAATGCATGAGGCCTAGTGCATTATCCTGAGGACTGCACTCCTCCTGCCGTGGACGGCCCATGATTCTCTTCACCATGTTCATTTTTCCCAGCTTCCTGAACACACGGCTAGGCCTGCCAAACGAGACAGTCATACAATTAATACCTGTATTGAGGTTGGACATAATAACACCAGTGCTGCATAGGTGGATTGTTTACACAGCGAACCCTGTTTTACCTTTCATATTCTCCAGAGTGTTGAATTACTTCAGCTGAGATCAAACAAGCTCTGTATCAACGTCATTCTACAAATTTCTAATTGTTAAAAAGTAGAAGAAATTAATTTATTCCACCTCTGCCACACTTACTCTATATTCAAGTTTTTTTAGTCCAGCAGTCTTCAGGGATCAAAATAAACACAATACATACAAAAGATCATTAAGGTCTTAGTATTGAATTCCAATGACGGTAGGCAGGTCTATTTTAGAAACAATTTTGATTGATGGACATATGGTCCAGTGCTGGATTCAAACAACATTAACTTGCAGGCTTTCCACCAAACGATAAAGTGAATAGGACTCAAAGATGAAGGGCTAAACACAGGATTAAACAGTTAAATAGGACCGAAAAAATGTGCAAACTAGTATTTTATTCAGTAAGATTCCCTCTCTACTGCATACTGTATACCCGTACCTATGTAATAATTTTTTTTCACTTTTAAAAAATATTCGAATTTGACGTACATTGCAGTTTGCATGTGTCCGGTTATGAAGGACCAACTAACAACCAAATTCAACAGAATAAGATGCAACATATCAGATGCAGCAAGAATTGTGAATTTGAGTTTCTACTTCCAAACAATGTAAACTGCTAACCAGATCGCCTGCCTGTTTAAAGGAAGGAAAGGAATCACCAGTAAATATGTGATGTACTGATCAGGGAACCCGAGACAATAGGACATTCAATGGAATCAACAGACAAGTCTTTACAAAATGATAGCAGATAAAGAACGAAGAGACAATAATACAACCTCTAATAGATACATGACTCAACGCGCTTCACGGAGAATTACTGTCAAGTTTAATGACTATACATTTGTAGCTGAACATTGTAGCCAATTTCCACACAGCAAGTCCCACAAATAGCTATGAAGTGAAGGAGCAATTTAGCTGGACGATCAGTGACCAGGACACCATGAAAAACTATCTGCTATTTTTGAAGAGCGCTTATGAGATCTTTAACAGGCACATGGGATCTCAGTTTAATATCCTATACAAACAATGAAGCGCACCCCCAGTACTGCACCAGACTGTCAGCTGAAACTGAGCTCAAAGTCATGATACGGGTTTTGAATCAGCAACTTTCTGTCCCAGAGGCGAGAGTTCTGTCAAATGAGCCACTATTAACACTGTCAGCTCTTTTTACGTTTTCTTAATCCAGTGCTTCAATCACAAGAACAACCATGTCGTATTCATAATTACAACTTTAACAAAATATTGACAAATTACAAGTGTATGCATAACATTGTCCCCAGTAGGCAGAAATGCAATTGAGTATGCAGATAGATATATTTGAACACCAAGTATTGAAGGTGTCAAACAAATAATTCATAAAGAAATCCAGTTCACTTATGAAATATTGATGATCCTTTTTAAATCAAGTCTGCGAAATCGCTTGGAGGTGATTTTCTCCCCCTCCCCCCAAAACATTTACCAGCACATTATGCTTTGTTATTTGAAACTTTTAAGGAAAGGCCTTTCAAAATGTGTAGGTTCCACAAAACACCAGCCAGTAACAAAATACAGTACAGCATAGCAAACTGAACATACAGCAAAAGTAATAGATTGTAATTTTTAAACGTCAGTAATTGGCCAGAGCACTCGGTCTCAAATAATGTAGGTTAGGGTTGGTATTTTTTTAAAAAAAACAAATATTTTGAAGTCCAACATTGAATTAATCTGAACAGAGCAAAAAAATAATCCTTGCCTTTGATATAGCACCATATCACACTGTAAGGACGTCTCAATGAGCATCATAGGATTTATGGTAAAGTGTAATGACTGTGCATTTTATAAGCCAAAGTAAAATCCCAGATCTTATAATAATAACCCTGTCCTTGCATTTGATATAGGGCTGTTCACGTCTTCGGGATGGCTCAAAGCCCTTCACAGAATATACTGTAAAGTGAACTGACCATACTTTTGTGGGCAAAACTCGGCAACCAATTGCGCACAGCAGTGTCCCACAAACAGTCATGAATTGAGTGACCAAATTAGTATTGTGGAGTAAGGAAACTTGCCCAAGGTTTCGCCCTGCCGGGAATCAAACCCAGGTCTCTCCATTACAAGGCGAGTGCTCTAACCACTGAGCTACAGAACTCCACAAATCTTACAAATTACCCCCAAATTAGATTTTCGTAGTAAGAATGAAAGAATTAGCTCCATCTTTTGTGTCTTGCTCAAACGCGTGTGTGCCTCTGTGTGTATATATGACAGCAAGAGTTCCACAATATTGGAAGTCTTTTGCTGTATGTTCAGTTTGCTATGCTGTACTGTATTTTGTAGAGGTTGAAAACCCTTTTTATTGCAATGACATTTTTACAAATCCGCGCACATGGTTTATATCATTAAGATAAGGGTTGCTCCCATAAACATGGGACCCCATTAAACATAGTTTTATTCATCTCCTGTGTTAGCTGCCAGATCACCCTTCAAACAGGTCCACAATGTACTTCAACTGAATTAACAACACAAAGCAGCTCAGGCTTGACATTCTTCGAACAGGACTCCCTATTGTTTCAAATACTTTGTTGAATGGAACAACTTGCACTGCCATCACACTAGCAGAACAACTATCTTGAAACGTTGAAGGAATACAACCGAGGTAAACAAGCCTGACACTCATAAGAGGATTTATTTACACCTAATTCTTGAACAATTTGTTGCAGGAGACATGTCAAGGCCTGGTTTCTGCATAAAATTAAGTAATTTATCAGCAATAAATTAAATAAACAGCTCAACGAAAGGCGACCTTGGTAATATTTTCACTGCTTGAACAAAACAGAGGATGATCAACCTGCAGAACAATTCTATTGACACAGATGTGGGGAATTTCAAAGCATAAACACAGTGCAAGAAACCAATATCACTCTGCCACTGCAGAGGGAGCTCTTGTGACTCTTGACTCAGCAGCACATCCACAGTCAAGTACACCACAAACCCTTCAACCACACTCAAGGTAAATGATTCAGTGATGTCAGAGAATGCTGGCGTGGCGTAGACTCCCTCCTTAAATCTTACAGGGAAAACTATTCCTCCTTGTTCCTCTCTCCTGCAGCTTTGTTTTGACAATCTTTGCTTAAAACACCACCTTTAAATTGATGAGGTGCAATCAATCACTGCTGCTAATTAGGGGAACCTAAGGGAACCAAAAGAAATAATGCTTTATGTCTTTAGTGTCCCTCTGAAACATTTATTTTTAAAGGGCCTATGTTTGAAGAAGGTAAGCATGACATTTGTCAGATGCAAGGCAGCTCTATTTTACAGTACCTCAATAACAAACCTCTTAAGACTGCTCTCCCCGAGAGCGGTAATACTAACGCTTACCACAACAACAGCAGCAGTAAAATTACATTTTACGTCGGGAGGACTTCCCAAGGCGCTGGACAGACAGAGAAACGGACCCGAGCTGGGGGTCGCGATCGGGGAGCGTGGAGGGCAACGGGGGAAGCAGGGTGATCGAACGCACGGTCGAAAGGAGGGTCTTGAGATGGGTCTCGAAGGAGGCAAGGGAGGGGGTGAGATGGAGGGACTGCGGGATGGAGTTCCAGAGGGTGGAGGCAGAGAGGCAGAAGGCCCACCCACTAATAGTGGGGCGAGTGACACGGGGGACGTGAAGCAGGCCGGAGCACACTGAGCGGATGGAGCTAGGAATATTAAGACAGATTGTAAGAGTTTTAAATACATTAAGAATAGGCTAGCAAAAGTAAATGTGGGTCCATCACAGGCTGAAACAGGAGGAGTTATAATGGGGGATAAGGATATGGCAGAGTCCCTAAATAAATACTTTGCTTCTGTCTTCACGTTAGAAGACACAAGAAGTTTACCAGAAATAGAGATGAACCAAGGGGCTAATGATAGGGAGCAACTTAGGGAAATTTACATTTACATGGTTTGCATCCTAGGGTTTTAAAAGAGGTAGCTCATGAGATAGTGGAGGCCTTGTGTCTGATCTTCCAAAATACTTTGGATTCTGGAACGGTTCCCATTGATTGGAAGATCACAAACGTCACACCACTATTTAAGAAGGGTGGGAGAGAGAAGACGGGGAACTATAGACCAGTCAGTCTGACATCGGTGGTAGGGAAAATTCTAGAAGCCTTAATGAAGGATGTCATAGTGGGATACTTAGAGGATCACAATATGATTAGACAGAGTCAACGTGGCTTTACAAAAGGGAAGTCATGCTTAACAAATCTTTTAGATTTTTTTGAGGACATATCAAGATTAGATGGGGGAGGGAATCAGTGGATGTAGTGTATTTAGATTTCCAAAAGGCATTCGATAAGGTGCTGCATAAAAGGTTGATCCACAAGATTAGAGCCCATGGAATTAAGGGGAATATGCCATGGATTGAATATGCATGGATTGAAGAATGGCTAACGGGAAGAAAACAAAGAGTAGGGATAAACGGGTCCTTCTCAGATTGGCGGGATGTGACTAGTGGAGAGCCACAAGGATCAGTGCTTTGGCCTCAACTATTTACAATCTACATCAACGATCTAGATGAAGACATTGAACTTAATATATCCAAATTCGCGGATGACACTAAACTAGGAGGGAGAGTAAACACTGAGGATGACATTAAAAAAATGCAACAAGATACAGATAGGCTAGGTGAGTGGGCAAATAGGTGGCAGATGAAGTATAATGTAGGGAAGTGTGAGGTCATCCACCGAGGTGGCAAAAACAGTACAGCAGATTATTTTTTAGAAGGGGAGAAACTAGATAGTGTTAGCGTTCAGAGGGACTTGGGTGTCCTTGTACACCAGTCACAAAAAGTTAGTTTGTAGGTACACCAAGCAATTAGGAAGGCTAACGGTATGTTGGCATTTGTTACAAAAGGGTTAGAATATA